TAGTGACACAAACACTGTAGGCATATAATCCATTGAAGAAAAAGATGAATTAAATGGCAGACGTTTTAGGCTGCCACAATTTTCATATATGAGTGATGAATTTTTTGTTGAATGTATTTGAGTGTTTGGGAAAATCTATGCAATTTGTATGGAAATGTTCACTCTGCTGTCATCACCTTCCTTCACTAGGAGAACAATAAAATAAAAAAATAAAAAATAATGAAGCCACAAAACATAAACACCGGCTTCCCGATAATAAATTAGTCCTTGGTGCGTGAGGGAAATGCCAAGTTTCACAATGGTTTGTCTTCCTATTAGATGAAAAGATAAACTGTATTTTTTTAAAACAAACAAATAAATGAACAAACTAACAAATAAATACATAAATGTCGTATTTATGGAAAATGTTTCCCCCGTCTTCAGTTGAATGGCTGTATGGAGACACCAGTACCAGCTACAATGATGGATGAGAGCCCAAATTTAAAGTATATTTATGAAACTAAAAGAGAAACGTATAGCAGTTTGGCAGAACGCAACACAAACTCATAAATAAAATATGACGTGTTAGAACTCAGTCCAAGGATGAGGTTAAACAGAGATGTGTACATCAAAAACATTTCAGGATAAACCGTCGGACTGCAAACATACTCATAAATATGGCTGAAATAAATTATTCAATAAATTTGTGCCATGAAAAATCCACAGTCATTCATTAAAAGTTAGATTTTTGTTCTCTGGAAATCTTGACCCAAATCTGAAAAAAACATAAATTTGAAATTAAGCATATTAGTCTGCATCTGGTGTTATAAATTTAAATCAAACGGTGCATTTTCCCATTACAAAGCTTCCTAACATCATAAATCAGAGAGCTCTTGGCGTGGTGCGGATTCCCAGGCCGTACGCCTGCTCTCTCCTGGAGGAGCGACAGAAGGGGGGCTAAGCACCGACCGCTTGCACTGACGGTCTGCTTCCGACACAGGCACAGCGCTCATTTCCCACACAGACTGCTTCAGATCTACCCCGTGGTCTTTACCTGTAAACATTGCACTTATGACAGTGGCACGACTTTAAAGAGCCCCTCATAGTGCTCAATCTGTGAAATACCTTCATGAAAACACTTCACATCACTTCACAAGACCCACAAATTAGCAGACTATAAATAAATAATAGCCAGACTATAAATAAAATTGAATTAGCAATTTCAATAATCAGTAACAATCAATATCAGCAGATACATGCAAATTAACAAAACATGAAACACTATCTATAAACATTAGGCGAAACAAATAAAATAAAACTATTCAAATCCAAAAATTTTCTGCAACGTGTAAAACTCTTCAGTCCGGTTAGATGTGGCATGCTCCTCGGTGAGCTTGCTGTCCATCTTCGCCTCCCACACTAGTTCTCTGCTCTTCCTGCTGAATTCTGACACAACGTTGTAATTAAACAGGCGCCGGAGCCGACTCGCTGGAGGGGGGGCCACAGATACCGATGATGGATGAGGGGAGAGGTCTGGAGCTGCTGGGTCACTGTAATGGGTCTCTCTGGGGGGGCAGAAACATCCCAGTTCAGTACACTGAGGTCCCTGAGTGACATCTCCCACACGGCAGACCCAGCTGGCGGCCCATTTTCAACAGAAACTCAATTATGTGTTGAGATGCTTCATTGAGTAAAAATATCACCAATTTACTGGTTTAATAAAAAAAAATTATTTAACAAAAATATATATCATATTTGAAATATTTCAACTGGTACTGAATTGAAACCCAAATTATATTTAGAAAAAGTTCATTGACAAGCATTATGGGCTTTTTAATTAGTGACACCTTTGCTGTAACACAAAACACCAAATATTTATGTTTAATATCCCTTTGGAATTGCAATTAATAGCAAACTGAATGACTCAGTCAAAAAATGATGACGCTTAATAAAAACAAAAATGTCTGTGCAGAAGACAGGGACAAATAATGTTAAACATTGTTTGAGAAGCCAGTCAATTTGCAACATTTTTACAGAATGGAGCGTTTGTCCCAAGACTTTCTGTGATCACTGTATATCAGTATCTATACTGTGATACACTGTCACAGGTTGCAGGTTTGCCCTGCATCCTTTTTGAGTAGAAATTCATGCTGACAGGAATGTAAGTTAATGTTGTCCAACGACGCCACTAAGTAGCCAGGAATGTTCTGCTTTCATGGTGCAGCTTGTAACGCTGCTGATAAAGGTGGATTTAACATCCAGATCTGATTTGGCTGAAAAGTGACTGTTTCCATTTTCAAAGACTCCAGCCATATAGTGGTATTGTCAGAATGGAACTGATCACTTACTCTAGAAGAATTGAATTGATAATCTAATAATTTATTTTATACATTATTAGTTAGAATCTGGTACAATGTAAACTTCATATCCTTTACAGTTTATTATGGAGTGAGCACACACACACACACACACACACACACACATATATATATATATATATATATATATATATATATAGATATATATAGATATATTTGTAGTACATGACATATTGAGCTACACTATGGTCAAATATTTAAGAAAAGAACAGAGTGATGGCTTCGTATGGAACTCTTATGCTATGGAATGACACTTGAGATGGTCTTCTGCAGAGCTGCCAGCCAGGTGCCACTGCAATGCTAAATCATCCGCTCTTTGTATTCCTCTTCCCAGGGGTACTTGGCCACACTTCCCGGGGCTCTTCTTCTGGTCTTTGTGGGGACTCTTCATTCATTTCTCTTGGGAAATCTCTAATCCCAACATGACGACCTTAACTCCTACCCAGTCCTAACTTTAACCATAAGTAACCAAACAAAATATCAGTCTTTTGGCATTTTTTGTTTTTTTGATTGCAGTCACAGATTTTTATAAAATTGAATTTCCCCTTGTGGGCACTGAAAAAATGGTCCCCACAGCATCAAAATAGGTTTTTAAGACATTGTGGGGACATTTGGTCCCCACAATGAAATGAATATCTGGCCCTACGTATACACACACACACACACACTCACACACACGGTACAATAACTGCTCAGAAGATTTTTCTTCCTGCAAACATACCTTTAAACACTGAATAGATAAACACTAGCGATTCAGACATATCCTTAAGAACCTACAAATATGAAAGGAGTGATTTACCTTTCAGAAAAGTCCTCTGGGGCATTATTTTATTGGAGGGGCTTCAGCCAACTTAAGCTATTTCAAAACTCTGTGTCTTATTAGGCTGGAGTTTCAGTGAAACCAGAATCAAGTCTGCCTTCCTCCTGTGAATTTAACCTTTTATTAACCGACATGAATAGTTATTTACAAATAAAAGGCAAGCTTGGAAAACCTACAGTGCATGATTTATTTTACCACAAGTCTTGTAATTTGCCTTCTTCTAAAGTAGACTAGTTTGTGCATCTCACACTACAAGCATTCAGACTGACAGGGGAGGTGAACCAAGTTGGCTTCTGCTGTAGGTATGGATTACTGGCTAGTAGAATTCAAAACAAAATTGTATTGTATAAAATTATTTCAACAAATATATTGAGTCAACCATAAATTCCTCAGACCCAACAGAACATTTCTTATGGAGAACCGAACACGGTTCTTTGCCTGAACACGGACTCTTCTGACCTGAAATCTCCAAAGTTAAAATCCCGCAGGCTTGGAGGAGACACTCTCCTTCAGCACCAACCACAGCCATCTACTATAACAGCAGCAAAGAAATGAAAGTCTAATTTCCTCAAAGGAAATCGAGTGTAATAAGAATCAGTGAGCAGGACTGGAGAATATTCCGGTGCAGAGTCTGGTATTGCTACATAATCTTCATCATAATGCCGCTTCTGTTAAATAATAACAGTGACGATTAGGTCCAGGGGAAAAGGTTTTTCCTCCCTCACGCACCACACTGGACACGCGTGATGCAACGCGCCAGCTCTGGATTCCCAGACGGCAACGTCGGGATTTCAAATCCCAGTTAACACTGGCCCTGGATTCCAAACAAAGCTTGAGAGGAGCTGGAAGGTTTTCCACGTAACTCTTATGAGAATGTAAGTGTGAAGCTCCCATCTCCCGCCATCAATATGACACCAGGAAGCAGGAGCCCGACAACGGAGGCATCTGGGAATGTTCAGGGCTGGGAAACCGCAGCCGACCCCAAGCGCCCTGATTCTGCGTCATACTGATCATGTGCGTCGACTAAGGGAATGTAAGTGTCTTAGCGCGACCCATCTCATGTCGATCTTCCAGCCTACAGATATTAGGATGTGCGTTGACTAAGGGAATGTAAGTGTCTTAGCGCGACCCATCTCATGTCGATCTTCCAGCCTACAGATATTAGGCATCATCCTTCTAGTAATTTCTCATCTTTCCGGTTACATAGCCCTTAGTGGCCAGCATAGAGGTAACCATAGAGGTAACCATGGAAGTCCAGGCAGGAGAATGAGTAGTGAGAGGACTTTGCCTTTTCAAACCATTTGGAAAAGCACTTTAGATGCCTGCACATCGCAGCCTTGGTTATTTTGCCTTAAAATATATTCAAAAAAAGATTTACAACCGGCACATAAACACTTAAGGTGTTAAGAGGTATACGGGAAATTTTTAAGCTCTGGAAAATGTCCTGAGAATACATTTCGCTGCTGTGTTTCAGAGGAGACGGTGAGTCGTAACACTTTGAACCGTATGGTGGGTGCACTGAAAGGCACAGTCAACGGCAACGGCAGCTTGATGCTTTGGGATCTGAAATAAGGCACTGGGTCTCTAGAACATCTGGACCTCTGTGTTAAAACACCTCTTCATCATAGGTATAAAACATTGGCCTTCTTGGCTCTATATTATGCAATGGGTAGATATCCTTACTAAGTGAAAATAGAAAATGTTTTAATATATCATGAAAAACACTCATATATATACTTTGTGCATCTCAGGGAAATTTCTAGGGTAGAAAAACAAGCCCCACCACCCCCAGATAAAGTAAGACAGGTAAACCAAACCATTAATCCATGTTACTATTATTTTATTGGTGAAAAAAACATTTTGGAGAGCCTAGTCTGGCAAACAAATGCCTTTTGTATTACAAAAAATGGCTACAAATTTTGATAATTTATACAAATACAACCGTTTTCAAAAAATAAAACCTTTAATTTAATAAACTCATGCCAGCGTGTTAACATTTCCACGTCAGCACGATTCTGAACACCCAGACTTAAATCCCTGAGCAGACACATAATGACACATTTCTTTAAAAGATTTTTTTTTCCATTTTTTACTAGCTTTTTAAACAGTTTTTACACATGAAGAACAAGTAAATTATACACACAGTACTGTCTAAGCATGGTGTCCTTTGTGGCCAAACTGAATAATCTTGTACAGACACCATGGCAACAAGCCTTAGTGAAACCACGCTGCCAGCGTTTGCTGTGTCACATGTCATTCAGACCTCTGCAGTGCTGCAGTGAAAAACAAGTGAGGTCATGTACTGTGTAGAACTGACCCAAGAAAACACTGCGAAACACGAATGCGTTTTGAACACTCATCGCCAATCATATACAATACCATCTGCTAGGCAGTACTCACTCTTTCATGGAAGGAAGTTCAACATTTTTGTACATTTCTTACATCTGTACACTGGCATTTAATGAATCAAGTTGTAAGTACTGACTAAATATTGAAAACCAAACCAGAATTTCACCTTTCAGTTTCAAACAGGATGACTGGTTGATGTACCGTTGATTAACTAAGCCTGTTTACATACATAATCATTCACACTCATTTTGATGTGCTTCAAAATAATTCAGTTGTTACTATTATTTTTCCTATGGTGGCAAATGAATACGTCAGACTAACAAAATGTGGTGAACCTGGTTATAATTTGTTTGCCAAGTATCTTTTTCACAGCACTGCCTTATGTTAATACACAGCCTCCACATAGTAAATCCTGCAGATTCCTGTTTCCACCGATATCTACAAAAGCAATATGTCAGTGGCTCCTTCAGATAAAACCTTTTTACAACACAGTGCCAGCTGGTTTACTAGCTAAGGTAACACGCTCTCTCTCACACACACAAACACGCACACACTGCAATAATTTAAACAACCTTAAACGAACAGGAAACAAACAATGTCAGTCATATAACTGCCTGCATCTCAAGAACAGCTTTGCGATGGCAAGAAGACAAACAAATTTCAGGACAATGTTACAATTATCAAAGATTATTTTCACCATCAATTCAACAAAATATTACACCCTAACAGAACAAAATAATGCAGAACAAAAAATGACAGTCATAAATTATCACATCAAAACAACCTTCTTTACGTTCTTTCCTTGCTAGTCTGTACTTCACCCTTGCTTAAAGCAACAGCTTAATATATTAAAAGTATATACGAACAATACGAGGACTTAGACACTTAAACAAATATAGCAAAATATGCTACATATTTAAGTATCCATAAATAGGAAAAAACTCTGTGGTTGTGCATTGTTAAGAGTGCAACAGTTATAGCGTAGGTCTGTTTGGTTATGGGAATTGTCCGCCACAGCCTAAGACGCTAACAAGCTCCTGTTTGACACGCATTACTTAGAACATATCAGTGATTGAGAGGAAGCGTCTTGTGTTCTAAACCTCCACATTTAATGGTGGGGGTTGGTAGCCTGGCCTGGATCGCTGGGGGGGTGGGGGAATTTTCAGCATCGTTGAGGATGGAGGAGGACAGAGCAGAACGCTGGTGGGCGTGGCTACAGCTGTCAATGGTCCCCTCTGCCTGACACGGTGTCACAAAAATCTGCATCCGGCTACTCAACATGTTCCCAGCTTCCTTAATACTTATATGTGTTTCTCATGATCGACGTACGACCTGAAATGATTAAGATTAAGTCCTATTCAGTCACTTGACTTTGCTGACAGTTGCTCTCTGAAATGCTGTTTGTCCTACCAGGACATGCGACACGTCACCTGCTCTCCACGCGCGCAGTGACACTCAATCGTTTCCAGGATGCGTTCCGGGCAGGCTGTCGGAATCCAGGCTGCAGATGTTTACATGCGTAATCATCTGAATACCTTCAGTATGTCGCTACCTTACTTTGCCAAAATCCAAGCACTTTATCTCACTGTATCTACAATTCGTGTATAATGTCACACCGGAAAAGCTAGACGAGGAAATAATTTGTCAGATTTGACATTTCTCTCAAACCTTTTTGGTTTTTTGAGCTTTCTGCAGAAGTACCCTTAACCTAAGACAACAGTGGCAGATGTCAAACACAATCAAAATTTGAGAAACGCTTCAGTTTGACTAACTTGATTTCGTTTCAACTTACAAAGCGATTAACCCTGGTTATAAACTCAAACCCTGTATAATTGTACATCTATATAATTGATTTCTCAGTCTTTAATGCATCGCCCATGGTCAAAATCAGCAGAGAATAAAAATGAAATTAGTAATTCAAAAGAAGTAGTAATCAAATCAAGCTCATCAGAGGACCGGCCACAAACCCAGGGCCCATTCCAAGTCTAGTGCTGAACGTCAGAGGAGCGTTAGGCTCTGAATGGCGCGGCCCACCGGTCTGTCTGAGGAACAGTCTGACGTCTTCAGCAGCTTGCGTCCCACGGGGCTCGATACAGCTCATGGCAAGGAGCCCCTGGTCTTCAGGCCTTGCTTCTCCATAATGTTCCACAGCTTTCGCAGGTTGGACTGCGTGATGGTGTCATCTGGCTTCAACTGGAGGGCTCTGAGATAATTGGCCTCGGCCTCCTGGAGCTTCCCATTGAGGTGGAGAATCGCGCCCAGGTTCATTAAGGCTGCTGGATACTAAGGGGACACAGCATTCAGACAATTAGAGCAACGCACGTGTACACAGAGATATTCTCCTAAATATACAGGCCATTCTGTTCTACTCTGTTCCAAGCCACATTCTATTCTATTCTATTCTACAATCTAAATTGTACAAGAGACAGTAATTACACATATCACTAGGTCACACTAATTTTCACACATTAAATGCAAGTTTACAAACAGCCACAGGAGCAGAAACATGCAGCTCTTTGACAAGTTCATCTCGTTAACGGGGAGAAAGGGTGTCATTCAAACGATCTTTGACACGCGTAGTAAAACATTCAGATCACAATTCTGTCATGCATTTACAATTAAAACAACAAAATCTCCATGTTTCTAAAATCATAATGTAATGATTAGATAATAATCTACAGACACAAGTAATTCACAGACACGGCTTCCAGGGAAACAGGATAGATAATGTAAATTAATTGTAGCAAATGATGGATATTGTTTACATTTGAATGTATCTGAATAATTATATCAGTGTGATGCGAAAATGCTGGATGGGCGGCTGTGTAATTGGTTACTGGGGTAATTGGTGACATTTCTGAACTTCCTGTCTTCAGAGGCACATGTGTTGCAGCTCTCTGGACCCTCCATGTGAAGCATCATACATGAAGGAAATAACCACTTAAAAAACTTTTTTTAAAATAACTTGTTGTCGCTCAACTCAATGCTTTAACTTGGCTAATTCATCAGGCACTGAAGACGACATATGACCCAGGCTCAGCGTTTCTCAGGTAACGGCTGAATCTTTCCTTCAGGATGACAAGTCTTTGCAAAACGGTAAACAGGGTGTCAAGCGGTCTGACACTGAGGTTTGCTTTAGTCGAAAACGCAATATTTTAATGTAAAACAGAAGAATGAGGATGAAATGATGAGAAAGCCTTAGAATATGTCACCGGCCTGTGGGAAAAGCACTACCCGAAGGCAGAGTGAGCTCTGAGGGCCGGCAGGCAGATATAAACTAATAACTAAAGGAAGTTGTGCTAAATAAAACTATCAGCTAAGCAATGACACATACAATGACCTTCAGGATGAAGGAAACCATCAATACAGTCATCTATCTAATCTCCAGGCATTAACATTTTAATGAACTCTAAAAACACACAGCGCTCAATCATTAACTTAATCAGTAATTACGCTGAAAGGCTGACAACATCTCTGCAAAACAACCAGTACTGTACGTTCTGGAGCAAGTTGGAAGGAGTGTGACAGAATGTTCTCTGCTGGGTGCTACAATCATTCGTTGCTTGTTCAGTGGTGTGAAGGTAAGGAAGCTTCTGCTTGAGAAGCTCACTGCAAACACTATGTCCAGTGACTTTGCTGCTGCAGGGGAAGTCAATCCACAAAAGCATCAAATTGCTGCTGGAATAATCCTACTGTCTCTGATTTGGCCTCGGCAGTGCCTTGACGTAAGAAACACATTCATTTCTGTGACTGAAGGACAGGCATGACGTGGATTCTTACCTCCACCAACGTGCGAGAAACACTCTGCATTCAGGATTTCCTCCTAATGCATTTCTGAGCCACTTTGGCAAAACAAATACTTTGGTTTTTCATTCTCCGTGAATAAAGTTTGGACTTTCATCCTGCTTCTGCTTTAACCGATTTTTCAGCAACTCCTGATTTTGATGTAAATGTTGATATTAATATTTTCTAAGCTAATGGATGAATGTTAAATATCCATCAACAGAACACAAACTTCAAAGATGACAGTAGCAGACACTTCAATAGCTCAGGTATTAAGTTTAAAAAAATAAAGATAAAATTTCCAAAAGTAAGGAAAGATGCAAATGTAACGTTTAACATCAACCGGTGCAGCATGTAATATAAGTTCCTCCTCCACCACCACTGAAGTTCAGACAGGAAGGGACATTTCAACAGTGGTCCTGGAATTTCCATGTAGAGCCTGTAGCCCATATTAGGAAGAAGAGGGCATGAGGCAGGGGACACCCCGGATGGGATGTCCATTACAGGGTACGAGGCGGGGGACACCCCGGATGGGATGTCCATTACAGGGTACGAGGCGGGGGACACCCCGGATGGGATGTCCATTACAAGTGACCAGAGGGAGGTACTACCTCCACGTTCTACAATGAAAAAACGTAGCCAGCCATCCTTCCTGGCATCTGAAGCCGGTTTTATGGCCGAGCCCATGGTAATGGATCCAGCGACTTCCAGGACTGAGCGGCGGGAAACTTCTGGTTTTCCTTTCAATTTTACGCAGGCGAACACTTCAAAGCAAACGCCCCCAAACACACCACCCCGGCCCCGGAAAGTAGTGGCGGAACCCCACCAGATGCATAACCAATCAGAAGGCTTCAGAGGAAACAGCCGCTTTGAAGGCCAAGCAGGAAGTGGAACCAGAAACCATAAAAGTGTCCGATGCCCGGCGAATAGGACTTGAGTTAAAAAAAAAAAACACTTTACTGGCTGCAGGTTGACTAAGAATGTTTTAAATGCCACTGTATCCTGGCAGTAGCCTGACTTCCAGATTGTTGGGGGGGGGGGGGGGGGTGTCTCAAACCACATCCATGTGCTTTTCTGCTCCGTAGGAAAAGCTGTCGCCTCCAGAAGGTCGTGCACCAGACAGAACGGTGCAGCATCGAGGCAGGATGCAGCTTTAGCAACTCAGAGTGCCTCAGGGCGCCAGTGATTCTCAGACCCATCCTCAGGGACCCATCGACACTCCACGCTTTTGCTACCCAGAGCTGGGAGGAAGCAAAAATGTGGACCGTCCCCGAGGATGATAGGATGAGAAACACTGCACTAAGAGAGTTTACGAATCACAGCACAGAGACCCGACAGGGTCATGTGGCACGTGTGAGCCGTGCCACAGTTGCCTTTACATATTTACGACCATGTGGCTTCACCAACCAAGTGGGAAAAACTGAAAGGGTGATGGATGCCTCTTGCCTACTTCCAAAACAGGATTCAGCTACGCCTATGCGACCTCGAGCCTCACACGGGAAACTCGCTCATTCTGAAACTTCCTTTTTAGATGGAGATCAATGCTATATTTAAGCTTATAGGTGGCACTTTGGCCGTCATGTGTGACAGGATGGACCACAAGTCACATCTGAGGACAGCTAAGAGCTGACCCGCAGGAAACCAGCTGGAAGATCTGGGCTATAAACAGACTGTTAAGGATACGTGTCCCAGAATACACATCCTGATTTAATGGATTTTCATTCCATTGACTGTGTATAATGGGCACCCCACGGAATGTTCTAGAAGAAAACCAGCCAGGAAACAATGCCAAGCCACCATAATCGCAGTGAAGCATTGTATTCTTATGCTGATTGCCAATAAATGGTGCGAACCTTTCACAGGTTTGTAATGTCATAAACATGGGTGTAGGAAATGGGTGAATGTGTACCGCCCAATATTTAATTTGGATTCATTCATCCCCCCCAGTAAATAACACTTGTGGATTTTCCCTCCTAGGACCCCCCCTCAGCAGGTACTGACCACAGCTAACTGCAAGCTGTTTCGGAGATGCTCTGTCCCAGTCACCTGGCCATGATGATGACCCTTGCCAGAGTCACTCATATCTTTATTCCTGCCCATTTCTTCAGCACTAAACACGTCCACTACAAGCGCCAAATGTTAGCTTGCCATCTAATGTATCCGCAACCTTGACATGCACCATTTTTATGGGATAGTTATTTGCTTCACATGGAGCTGGTCATAATGTTTCGGCTAATGGCTGTGTGTGTGTGTGTGTGTGTATGTGTGTTTGTGTGCGTGTGTATATTACAAACACTGGGTAACACTTTACATTAACTGTACCTTATAGTCAGATGACAGCTGTAAATACATGAATAACAAACATTATATGATAATAACAAACATTTTATTGTATAATCATATAGTGTTTGTTATTAATGTATATTAAAGCTGTTTAGGGATGTTAGTTTGTCATTGGATGCTTACATGCTGCTTATGAATGTTCCATGAATACATTATAAAAGCATTATGAAGGTGCACTGAATGTTCTATGAATGCATTATGAAGGTGCACTGAATGTTCTATGAATGCATTATGAAGGTGCACTGAATGTTCTATGAATGCATTTTGAAGGTACACTGAATGTTCTATGAATGCATTATGAAGGTACACTGAATGTTCTATGAATGCATTATGAAGGTACACTGAATGTTCTATGAATGCATTATGAAGATGCACTGAATGTTCTATGAATGCATTATGAAGGTGCACTGAATGTTCTATGAATGCATTATGAAGGTGCACTGAATGTTCTATGAATGCATTATGAAGGTGCACTGAATGATCTATGAATAAATTATGAATGCATTATAACGGTTAACGTAAAGCATTACCAAACATTGTAAATAGATGTCAATTATTGTTTTTTAACTATAGTAAAAGATCATATATGATCATTCATTAATGAGAGCCTGTAACCTTCAGCTGAAGCTACACAATTAAAGTTTTCCTGTCACTATGTTCAGACAGCTTGATGGAATAAGTGACGATGAATGAAAGCAGGAGCACTCTGCCATACTGCACTCGAGGCGGCCGTCCGATCCTCTACTTACGTCTGGCCTCAGGCTTGCTGCAAGGCCATAATACTTCTCAGCGGTATGATGGAGACTCGCCTGCCTGTGAAGGAGAAAAACACAGAGAGGGCATGGTCACACATACCCGCAAACACCAATAATTATATTACCAATGAAAACATATTTCAAAATGCTTAATTCTATAATTATGAAGACATCAATAATATCCAGACTTATATTAGAAAATCAATAATCATGTAATTCATAAAAAAAACGATAATTATGTCATTTAGGAACACGACTCACCACCCCAGGACTGAGAGATACTCTTTCCACAATATTCCTCAAAGCCAGCAAACTGAGCCCTTCAGCACCAACATAAAAGTACCCCAAGCCCAAATAGCCCGGAGCTCACTGACTAGGAGGGCTTCAGCTCAAGTGGGTCACTCAGGTTTTTTTTCTTTAAAAACATCCATCCATTCATGCATCCATCCATCCATCTAGACCTCCTTCTCCCCAGCCACCTCTTCCAGCTCCACCAGGGGAATACCAGGGCATTCCCAGGCCAGCCCAGAGATGTAATCTCCCCAGTGTGTCCTGGGTCTGCCCCAGGGTCTCCTCCCGACTGGGCATACCCCAACACCTCCCCAGGGAGCACAGTATTTTAAACATTATACAGATAATCAGGAAAACATCCAGCAGTAACACAGTGGTAAAATTTGCTGACCGGAGATCTTGGGGTAGTGGCACTAAAATTCATTAGCTTCGTGCGGGTAAATTTTACCGCAACTGATTCATTTCTTATTCTCTATGGAAAGTGGTTGATCGATTGGCAGTCCTAATTTAATGATGATTAAAATGCATGTTCCGGGCTGGTATGTCGCGACCCCAGCTTAAAGCCCTTAACATGCCTTAAGCCACGCCCCCCTTGCTACCTCATGTGGAATCCCCATGTTACCAGCTGTTTCTCGTTCTTAATTAGTCTGATGTATTTAAGTCTGCGTTTGAGTATGTTTCCCCAGTTCTCTCATTAATGTCGTATCGTGTCTGCCTGTTCCGTGTTTGCCTCTATACCCTGAGTCCTGCCTCTGCTTCCGCGGTCCGTGCCTTCGTGCAACCGTGACAATAATAACCTTTGGCTAGTATCCTGGACACACAAAGGTCTGTCTGGAGACACCAGAGGAGCCCGGTCTGCACTCCGTAAGCTTCTCACATCCTCCTGGACAGTCTCACTAACTCCTAGCTCTGCAGCTTACGACCTTCAAACCAACAAGCTGACATCAGTGACCTTTACATGACCTTTATTACAGTCAACAGGCATAAGAGACCGTAAGACACAATGCAAGCAAGAACGAGATGCTGAAGTTCACGTCCTACATCAGCATCAGCTCTTGGTTTAAAACAGCCAAGATGCTACAGTGTATCCCTTAAAGAATCATTAAATCTTATTATTATAATCACTCCCTAGGGAATGACGACCTGCTGCATTATCACATTTTATAGTTTTTCTCTTCTATAAATCAGCCTGAATGATGACAGCTACTTTATTTTATAGGCTCTCTCCAATACTGATGGATAGAGTGATGGAACGCTATGATACTGCTTCAATACCTCTAACCATACACTTGTAGACATAAGCAACTAATAATTGATACAATTACAGTTAAATTCTGCATCTTAACTAGGGCAATTATCCCCTTACACCAAATGTCTAATTTGCAATTCAATTTATCACAAGTGGAATTAATCACAAATGATTTTTATAAAAAGCCCCATAATTTTATCTCTCCCCCCTCACTCTTCAGTATATATCAGGGATCATAATTATGGAAGTTGTAATAAAACATACAGATTGGTCATTTTCTTGTGAAAACTATTACAAGTGATGAAACTGGGTGGCAACTATCCATGTGCCACAGAAGAACCTGCAGATTCACCAGCATCACTGACTTCTCACAGACAGATGGAAAATGGTCACACACTCTGATTTAACAAGTCCAGCACAGGGGTCTGAGGGAATAATTAATAGGAATCAGAGCAGGCCTTGCAGTCAAAACTTTCTAATGCATTCCATCAATTGTATCAGTGCTTGATTAAAATAGCTTCAGGCATATTTGCCAATTAAGATCTGAAAGTAAAATACTCTCAAAGTCCCAGAAGATAATTATTTAACCCAGAGGAACAAGACGATCACAGAAGAAGGGAGAGCAAGGTGACGTGCTGTGCAGTCTTCACGATTCGGTGTTTAGTGGCAACACTAAGCTACTCTGTCCAGCTCCACCCTCTGCAATTTATCAACGATGCTCTTCAAATACATTTCAAAAGACTGGGGAAAAAAATCTGCAAAAATCATTACTCTGCACGTCTCAAAAGAACAAAAATACTTCTGTCAGCAGTGACTATAATAAACAGCAGAAGACTAAATATCAACTTATACTGTCATCGAAAAGTTACACTAGTTATAATTTATCTGCTTGTGAGCATTGAGCCAAACTGTTAGTGTTTCTCTTAACAGCCTGCATTAATTTAAGCAGTCATCTTAGTGAGTTGTAACATTGAGGGTCAAGGACGGTGTCAAGGACGTTTGCCTCTGGAGCTCCGTGCCATAAAAGTGCGCTATAAGACACTCTGTATACATAGCTGGGTGATTTAATTAGGGATTTTGTATGCAACAACAACAGTGAAAAGCAATGATCCACATTCTGAACAATTAGTGACTTAATTTGCTGGGTCTGATTACTGAACAAATGATTTATAAGACCATCCATCCATCCATCCATTTTCAGTAGCCAATGTCCAGTTCAGGGTTGGGGGCCCGGAGCCCATTCCGGTGTGTATTTGTTTATTTTATATTCTGTTCATCTTATTGTTTTCTGTATTTGTAACCTTCCTGACTTTTTTCTTTGTTGCACTAAGGATAGTCTCCCAATTTGTCAGCTAGATAAACAACAGACACATTCATAATTCCCCATCGGGTGAAGTGCCTTATAAAACATTACGCAGGAATTATTTTGCACCTTAACCATCTGAGGTCAGAGGTCAGAGAAACGCGATTGGAGCTCCACCCACCTGAGCATGTGGGCCGCGTTGAAGACCACATCGAACTCGCTGCTCTCCAGCTGGGCGGCCATCTCAGCCATCTCCGCGGCCTCGGCCAGCCGAGACTCTTCTAGAAGAAACTGGCCTGGTGGTCGGTCACAAAGAGGAAACGGGGCAAATTTTTATAGCAACTGGAAAGTGACACACAGGGGTAATAAAATTTTATCTAACAATCAGTCCCACAATGATAAACATTCATGCAAACAGGATGTCTTGGTTCCAGTGGCAACTCTGTGATACTGATTTTTGTAAACTTTCTCTTAAAAAGTGACCTGTACTCCATACAGCTAGTAACAAATAAAGAGAGTATTGAGCGTGTCTCTGCGTGACCTGTACTCCATACAGCTAGTAACAAATAAAGAGAGTATTGAGCGTGTCTCTGCGTGACCTGTA